GTGTCAATTTTAGATCTTTCCTTGCTACTCATGTGGGCATTTATTGATATACATTTTCCTTTAGACACTGCTTTAAATGTGTCCCAAAGATTCTGGTATGTTGTATCTTCATTCTCGTTGGTTTTGAAGAATATCTTTATTTCTGCCTCCATTTCATTGTTTATCCAGTCAACATTCAAGAGCCAGTTGTTCAATTTCCATGAAGTTGTGCAGTTCTGAGTTAGTTTCTGAATTCTGAGTTCTAATTTGATTGTACTGTGGCCTGAGAGACTGTTTGTTATGATTTCTATTCTTTTGCATTTACCGAGGAGTGATTTACTTCCACTTATGTGGTCAATTTTAGAGTAGGTGTGATGTGGTGCTGAGAAGAACGTATATTCTGTGGATTTGGAGAATATACAAATGGTGGAGAGTTCTGTAAATGTCTATTAGGTTTGCTTGGTCCAGGTCTGTGTTCAAGTCCTGGATATCCTTGTTAATTTTCTGTCTCGTTGATCTGTCTAATATTGACAGCAGAGTGTTAAAGTCTCCCACTATTATTGTGTGGGAGAAAGTGTATATTTTCTTCTCTCTTATCTTATCTACTTTATTCAGATCTGGTTCACACCCTTGTCCTGTTTTTCCCCTCAATAAGACCACTTTTTCTTTTATTTATGTATCAAATATCCTTGCCTCTTTCTCTTCCTCCTTACAAAGCAAGGTTTCTCAGCTTCAGCATTATTGAAATTTTTGGCTGAATAATTCTTTGTTGTGGGTGTGTTAGAGTAGGTAGCTAGGCAGACATGAGTAGGACTGGAGACAGACCACTCACCCTTCACCACGAATGTCAGGCAGCCATCAGATGATGTTCAGGCAGGTGTTAAACTGTCTCTCTAAAATAGTAATTGGTTGCAGCCAGCACCAGGAGAAGGTAGTTTCCCAATAGATAGAAAACACCTGAAGCTGGTGATCAGCAGCTTACCAGTAAGATCTCAGGAATTGGGTGGGTGGGCTCAAGCATGTGTACTAAGAGGCAAAATGATGGAGTTTAACTGGTATCTGACCTTTCTCTAGGAACACTCGACAGGTAAGGACAAAAATGCCTCAAATGAGCATGCACACAACTTTCGTAAACACACTACACATGCTCCCTTCCCAAGTGCTGGCAGGCCACTGTGATTGTAGACAGCCTGTCCCAAGACAAAATCAACAAAGGAGAGATGAAAAACCCCAGAACCATGCCAATGTATAAAACCCTGAGTCAAAGGTCAAACAGGGCACTTGGATCTCTCAAGTTGCCCACTTGGTCCTCTTCCAAGTGTACTTTACTTCTTTTCATTTCTGCTCTAAAGCTTTTTAATAAACCCTTACTCCTGCTCAAAAACTTGCCCCAGTCTCTTACTCTGGCTTTGCCCCTTGGTCAAATTCTTCCCTTCAAGTGGGCGAGAATTGAGTTGCTGCAGACCCGTGTGGATTCACCGCTGCTAACAGGGGCTGTCCTATGCATTGTAGGATGTTTAGCATATTTTTATTTTAGATATTTTTATTTTAAGTATTATTTTTGAGACAGGGTCTCACTCTGTCACCCAGGCTGGAGTACAGTGGCACAAACATAACTTATCGTAGGCTCAAGTGATTCTCCTGCCTCAGCCTCCTATGTAGTTGGGACTACAGGTATGTGCCACCACACCTGGCTAAGTTTTTGATTTTTTGTAATGATGGGATCTCACTGTGTTGCCCTAGCTGGTCTCTAATTCCTGGGCTCAAGCAGTCCTCTCACCTCAGCCTCCCAAAGTGCTAGGATTACAGCCACCATACCTGGCCTCCATTCTCTATTTTTAATGGGTGCTAAGAGTTACAGTATGCATCCTTAATTTATCACAGTCTATTCTGAATTAATATTATACAACTTTATGTATAATGTGAGTACCCTTCAATATTATAATTCATTCATTCATGTTCATTCTGCCCTATTGTCATATATCTTACTTCTTCATGTTATTAATACCACAATATATTGTTTTTATTTCTGCTATAGTTAATTGTATTTTAAAGGAATCGAGTAAAGCAAACCAACAGCATATATACTTATCTACCTATTTAGAATTTCTTTTTTTTTTGGAGATGGAGTCTCATGCTATGGCCCAGGCTGGAGTACAGTGGTACAATCTCGGCTTGCTGCAACCTCTGCCTCCTGGGTTCAAACGATTGTCCTGCCTCAGCCTCCTGAGTAGCTGGGATTATAGGCCCCTGCCACCATGCCCAGCTAATTTTTGTATTTTCAGTAGAGACAGGTTTTCACCATGTTGGCCAGGCTGGTCTTGAACTCCTGACCTCAGGTGATCTCCCTGCCTCGGCCTCCCAAAATGCTAGGATTACAGGTGTGAGCCACTGCACCTGGCCTATAATTTCTAAAAACCCTTCAGTGCTGTATTTCTATATTTACATCAGACATAATTTTTCTTCAGCCTAAAGAAATTTCTTTTGTATTTCTTGCAGGCAAAAATCAGCTTTTACTTATCTACTTTCATTTTGAAAGACATTTTTGCTTGAAATCATTCTATGTTGACAGATTTTCTTTGAGCACTTTAAAATGTTATGTTATTGCCTTGTGGCCTCAATTGTTTCTGATGAGTAGTCAGTCACCATTCCTATGATATATGTATAGGTGCTTTCTCTGTATAGATCCTATTTTAGATTCACTTGAATATCTAAGATCTATGGATTGATAGTTTAAATCAAATTTGTTTATTTTTTCAGCTAATATTTCTTTTAATATTTTATGCCTTTTTTCCTCTCTTCTCTAATTCTGGGACATACTTATATGTGTGTTAGTCTTCTTGATATTATCTCACAGGTCATTTTTGCTATTTCATGTTTTAAAACAATGTCTCAGTTTGGGTGCTTTCTATTTTCCTATCTTAAATCATCTGATTCTTTCTTCCAATTTATTGTTAACTCATTACAAAATATTTTTTCTTATATTTAGTTTTTCAATTTTAAGATTCCAGTTGCTTCTTTAAGAGTTTCTATATCTTTCCTGAAATTCCTCCTGTCTTCATTTTTATATTCATCTTTTCTATCTTTTATTATATTTATAATAGTTATTATAAACTCTGTCTTCTGATTCCAAATCTGGATTATTTTTTGATTTTCCAATTGGGGACAGAATTCCTGCTTATTGGCATGCCTAGAGTTTTTAATTATATAATGGATGATATGTTGTAGATAGGTTGTTATCTTCCTCTGAGTTATGTTCTAGGGGTAAACTATTGACAAATCATCTTGATTATGTGGTGACTTGGTTTTAGACTTTGTCAGAGCACATTTATTTCACTTTTGCCCTTAGTTCTAGGGCATAATCTTTAGTCTGGGAACATGATCTTTACTCCTACTGTGGCCTTTCTAGAGTTTCACTGGAAGCTAAACTCCTCTAACATAGGTGAGTTTGAACCCTGAACTCTTTCTTTCCAGTACTAGGAAGTTGCTGAAATCCTGCTCAGTGCATAGGCTCTAACAATAGCTCTTAAAAGTCCCCCATCCTCTACTTGTGTCTCTTCCATTGAGATGTAAACTTCCTCTACTATCCCTAAAAGAACAGGGCAAAAAATGGGGGGATTCTCTCTTCAATTTCCAGAACAAATTTCTATCCACTACATAACGATGACTATTCTGAACTTTGATAATAACATCTGCCCATATTGTCTTAATTCCATAGACTTCCATCTCTCAGATAACTGTGCATCTGGCCCACAGTCTTCCTCCTCTTGCAATCTTAGGTCAAATTGTTAATGATGTCATGTGTATTGACATCATGGTATTGCACTAGTGATCAGTAAACGCATCATAGTTTTTCATTCTTTTTGGCCAAATGCCCTATTGTTTCTATTTTTTATCAGATATTCAGAATCAACAGGGCCTTTACTTTGACTCTGTTCTATTGATTGCTGGAATCTCTAAAACTGTGTTTTCCTACATCTTTCTTTTTGTTTAATATTTTCACTCCTTACAATCACTGAACACTGTTTACCCTAACCCTATGCACTTCATGAGATCACTTTTTCTACCCTGTTATATTTGTTTGTTACTTTAATATCTTTAGAACCCCTTAGTTTTGCCTTTTATAATCACTAATTTCTGGACTTAAGTCTATTTGTTCCATTTCTGCACCCACAAAGTGGTAAACAAACAACAACCACATCAACAAAACCCACCAGGTTTCTTTAAAGCTGAATCTGCTGTCCTGCTAACTTATCATGAAACAAATATCTCTAGGTAGAATCCCTGGCATCTGCCCACATCTTCTTAAATAGTTAGGAGTAAAGGAGTAGTCTGAGAATCTGGCTCTACCTCTATATATCTTTGTTATTAACCAGCATAAAACTTTGAATTACTTACTGAACCCTCCAATTTCCTGTCTGTGAAATGAGGAAAAATATCTGAGAACTTGAAACCCACTACAATCCATCTCTGTGTTTCACTAGCCCAGTTAGAAACTAGAGAGAAGCAAATTCCATGCTAGCAAGTGTAATAGTGATAGAGGGAGGAGGGATTGACTGCCAACTAGGGATTGAGCTGCAAGGGTCTTGAAGTTCCCATCTGTGAAAATGTAGGCACTGTGAGACCTAGAAAGTAACAGACCAGACACTGGGTCAGTATAAACTACAAGGAGGCGGCCTGGGTAGAGAAATTTGCTGGTTGTTTTTCTCCCTTTATCTCAGACTCCTCTGAGTCTCTCACTTAGGGCTTCATGCTGTCTCTTTCTTCCTGTCCCAATTCTCCACATTTCCCTCTTCACCACCCCAAAACATAATCTAATTTTTATTCTTAATTGGTCCTGGTTATAAAACTTAGATCTGGTCTACATTATTGCATGTATTCTTCAATAAAGCTTTAAAATCTTTAATTAAAAAGGCAAATGATTTTATTGTTCTGTAATATTTTTTAAAATAAGAGGAAGTAGTAAAATTAGATGAAAGATGTTTTTTATTTCCTTGTGACCTCTGTTTCCCCCTTCTCCTGCCCTTGGTAAGTAACTCTTGATGGAGAAAGGATTCTAGACTCTTATTTAACCAAAAAACAGAGCCAGCTAATCATTTTTAAAGGTTGGCTGTCTCCCTGCTCTCCTCTTCTTTGGTAGAAATTGAGTAAAACTATATGGTCATATATATATATTAAAACAAGCTCAGAAGAATGTCTTTTATTCCTTGGTTGAGGCATTATAGGGGCTATAGCTATCATCCAATAATACCCAAGGGAATAAAAAGCTGCTTTGCTGGGAGTAGAAACTTATAAACAAATCCAATAGACCTTTGCTACAAAACCAATATGAAGAGAAAAGGGTAATAGCCATATTTTTAAAGGTACCTCTTATGGTGAAAAAAAGATATCTGAGCATTAGCAGTGGGATTTCATCTGTAATACATATATCAAAATAGCAAGAGGTAAAGAGCTTTACAATGGGTGCTTCATATATAAAAAACAGCATGATCTCCAGTTGTAAACAAGCAACCTGTTCTGCACAGATAAGGAGAAAATAAAAATTAATCAAAGTAACTAAATGATTGTTTCACATAGGCAGTCATAATGCAGACCTACCCTCCTTTTCTCTAGTTGGGGCTATTTTTCCACTTCAATAAAATAAACTTTTTTTTTTCACACTGGTCCAACTTTACCCTTCCCTTTGCCTTAAAGACATTACTTTGAAGAATAATTTTTATTATTTTTTCATAGCCAAGTCTAAGGGTTTTCTAATCTCCCCTGAAAAAGAATTTGCCAATTTACCATGTAAAAATCTTACCTGTATTGTACAGAGACTCAATGCATTTTAATACAGTTTTGATGTTAATTTGACTTTGTTGGTATGTTTTTGTAGTCAAAGGCCATGGGTCTTAAACCTAAGAAGGAAGACACTTTGTATTTTTTTTTTTTGTATTTTTTTATAATAATTTTGTTCCATTCTCTTTCTTGTCTGCTCTCTTTTTCCTGTTTAAAGTACAATGTGTCACAACTATAATAAGGCAAATGATTCCTATCAAACCCATTGCTGTTAAAACTCCTTTCAATATAAGATAATCTCTGGCAGGTACAGGAGAAGAATTGGGGGGAATAAACAGAGATGCGTGGGCAATGTTAGATACAGCAGACTTTAAAGAGTTCCTATCCATTGCTCGTATTGCAACATAAATTCTGTGGCTTCCATTTTCTCCATTGGGCCGATGTTCAGGTCCATTTGTGAAAATTTGCGGTGAGAACGTAAATATCTCCCTGGTGCCAGCGGGCTGAGGATTTAGCTTTGATGTATTTACTAAAATGGCATTGTTAAAGTCATCTTGGATATTCTGTAGACTGTTACTCATTCTTATTTCATAGCTTGTAGCTGAAATTAAAAATATAAACAGGAAACAAGTCAGCTTGAGTATATCTTCTACTTTGTTAGAAATTACTCATGAAAACAGCAATAAAAAGTCAACATATTTAGGAATAAACATAACAAGAAACATGAATACAAGCAAAACTTTAAATCACTACACAAAAACTCATACTAAAACCCAAGGACTTATTTTTTTTTTTTTGAAAAGCAAGATTCAACATATAAGATGTTATTTTTTTCCCAAGTCATTTTGTAAATGTTATGTGATTCTACTTAAAATGCCTCGTTTCTGCTTTACTTAGTCAAGTTTATTGTAAGTTCATATGGAAATTAAGCAATCAAAAATGAGCATATAAAGCCTGAAAAATAGCAGTGTGGAAGGACTAACCCTACCAGATATACAAATGCTATAATATCTCAATCATTAAAATGCCGTGGTACTTACTGACGCATGAGTAGACATATCAAACCATAGGCCAAAACACATTCAGAAGTTTAGTACATGATAAAGGTGGAATTCAAGTTAATGGCAGAAAAATAAAAGTGTCTCAATAAATGGTGTGAAAACTGGGTAAAAAAATCTGGAAAAAGATGATGGAGGTGGAAGCCTTAAAGTTAACATAAGCCTTAGACAAGGGAAAGTAGAAGAAGGTACTTTGTCAATGTTTATCCAAGCAAGGATAAGAATCCCCTTAATCAGGGGACTGGTCCTGGCCTTCCTAACAAAAATAATGGCCTGAAGTAGGAAACAAAAATGCACCAAGATTTGCATGAGTTATGAAAAAAACTCCCCAAAGCCTACTGATAAATATATGAATAAATATTCACTACCTAACTTTCAGAAAATGAATCACCTCCAGTATTGGGAAGCACATGCTCTGTAGTGCAGAACCCATTTCTGCTGAACAGACACACACAAGCACATAGTGTTTATGCTTCTAGACAAGGTTTCTGAATGATTAGTATCAGCGAGTTTTCCAGGGCCTCCTCAGTACAGGGGTAGCCTAAATACTGTCCTTCTGGGACTCCAGGATTTAAAGCTTTATCAGCAACTCAGGGCTTTTCACAACAATCCTCTGTACCTTTTTCAGTTCTAAACCCCCAAAGTTATTTTCACTCAACTAACTAGTTATTAGAAATGCTGTCTTATGGAAAAATAGGTACTGAAATGAGCAAACCTACCCTGGCCCTGATCAAAGTCTTCTCCAGGTGCTGTCCAAGATAAAGTTACCTTCTCTTCTACTTTTACAGCTTCCAGGTCAATAATTTTGCTTGGTGGAAACACGTCAGGGTGGAGGCCAGCTGGAACTCCCAGCACTGAAAAGGAGCCCCCTGAGCTGACTCGGCTAAAGCCCCACTTTTGCTCCTCCTCATTTCTGCCTACTGGTTTCCTTGGCGCATTCATCTGAATGTTACCTGCGACACAAAAGAGAAAAATAGGCAAAACAACAAATTATAAAGCTCCTGAACAGCTTTTTCTTGACACAATGAGCCTTTGTTGAACTTTTTTTTCTTTTACTACATCTTTAGATTAACTGAGTGTATTTGTACAATTCTTTGTCCACTAATTCATCCATTTATTCAGTAAATATTAATTAATTTAATTTTTTTTTTTTTTTTGAGACAGAGTCTCACTCTGCCATTCAGGCCTGAGTGCAGTGGTGTAATCTTGGCTCACTGGAACCTTCCCCTCTTGGGTTCAAGCAATTCTCCTGCCTCAGCCTCCCAAGTAGCTGGGATTACAGGCACCTATCACCACACCTGGCTAATTTTTGTGTTTTTAATAGAGACAGGGTTTCACCATATTGGTCAGGCTGGTGTTGAACTCCTGACCTCAGGTGACCCACCCGCCTCGGCCTCCCAAAGTGCTAGATTACAGGCATGAGCCACCATGCCTGGCCTCGGTAAATATTTATTGAGAGTATATGCTGTGCCAATAATTACAGACAAAACAGTATCCCTCATGGAATTTATAGTCATGTTAATCATATTAATAAACATATATTTACAAAGTATGATAAGTGTAAGAAGGAAAGAAGGCAGGAGGCTAGGAAAGAAAATAACATGGTCTATAATTTAGAATGGTATCAAGGAAGTAACATTGAAAGGTTTCCTAAAGATTGAGTAGTAATTGGCCAGGTAGAGAAGGGTTGGGAAGAGCATTCCAGGCAGAGGGAACAGCAAACCCTGAGGTGAAAGGAGATTTCAAGTTACAAAAGCTAAATTAACTTCGGGAGGTTGAGGCAGGTAGATTACTTGAGGTCAAGAGATCAAGACCATCCTGGTCAACATGGTGAAATCCTGTCTCTACTAAAAATACAAAAATTAGCTGGACATGGTGGTGTGCTCCTGTAGTCCCAGCTACTTGGGAAACTGAGGCAGGAGAATCACTTGAACCCGGGAGGCAGAGTTTGCAGCCAGCCAAGATTACACCACTGCACTCAGCCTGTTGACAGAGGGAGACTTCATCTCAAAAAAAAAAAAAAGCTAAATTTAAAAAAAACGAAGAGAGTCATTTGGTATGAGGCAGGAGAGAAGTTTACGCAGGACCTCATGGGCCAATGTAGTGGCTTTAGATTTCAATGTTACATGCTGTAGGGAAGCAGGGGAGTGACAAAATTATATTTGCTTTCTAATAGGACACTCTGGCTGCTTGGTGTAGAATGAATTAAAGCACAGCAAGCAATGAGGTGGCCACTTAGCCAGTCAACAGTCCAGATGAGAGCAGCTTGGGATGGGAGATGGCATGGAGGGCAGAGCAAGAAAGATGCAGTTCAAGATGTGTTCTGAAGATGTCAAGCAAAAGCTGGTAATGGGTATGAATATAGAATGGTGAATAAGAGAAAAATGGTTTAAAAGAAAAAGAAAGCGTCCCGGTTTCTAAAATAGGCAAGCTGGGAGGAGAAGCAGGCTAAGGAGAAAAAGACCAAAAATTAAATTACAAGGTTTGTGATTCCTGTAAAACATCTAATTCAAGATGTTAATGAGCCATTTAGATATGGATTTTAAGCTTAAAAAACAAATTTTAGCAAAATTTAATAATTTTAAAGTTATGAATTTGGAGGTTATACACAAATAGATGTTATTGAAGGCATATGGATTAATGAGATTAACTAAAATAATTTTTACTGTAATGATAAGTAATATTTATTGAGCACCTACTATGTGCCATGCACTTTTCTAAGGCCTTACATAAATCAAATATTTAATTTTCCCAGCAAGGCTATGAGAAGGGTACAATTATTGTCCCTATTTTTTTAGACGATGAAACTGAGACACACAGAAGCTAAGTCACTTGCCCAAAGTCACACAGCTAGTAAATGGAGGAGCTGGGTTTCAAAACCAGGCAATGTGACTCCAGACGGTAGAGTAAGAAGGTTCAGACTGAGCTCTGAGAATTGCCAACATTTAGAGGCCTGGTAGAAAAAAAGGAGCTGGAAAAAAAAAAGCCTGATAAAAATTCCAGAAAATAAGAGGTAATAGGAAGAGTGAGCTATCACAGAAACCAGGAAATGGCAAAGGAGAGATCAATTGGCTGTGTCAGATACTGGTGAGGTCAGGAAGAATAAAGACTGAAAAATAGAATCATGTTATGGAATAGTCTAAACGATTAGTTGTAACTTCAAAAATACAAGAATAATATTTATAAAGAATCTGCAAATTTTGAAATAAAAATGCTTAGAAGTCTTTTTTGAGGTTGTTTTTAAAGACTATAGCATAATATATTTCTGTTTGTCTATTATACTTTTAAACACTCCTTCCTATCAGGAACTGTTATAATGGTGTTAAGAAGATATGTATCTTCCATTTATTTTTCACTTTTATCTTGAAGGAAAACAGAATATCTTCAGGAATCACTTAGTTGTCTGTAACATCCAAGCTCATATTTATCTAGGAACTCATTTCTTGTTGGACTGTTTCGGCTGTTGGCCCCCTTCTTTCAACTGTTAATAACTTTTTGCCTCTTTCTTTTGCCTAAACCTCTATAGAATAAACACAGAAGCAGAAACTGAGAAAACCCAATAAATCTCTTTATCTATTAGTAATTCTGATGAAACAAGAAAAAGGTCAACATAATGACTAAAATGAAGGTAGGTATAATCTGTGGGCATTACCTATTGCCTTCCTGTTACTGCCATGAATCAGTGAGGATTGAAGAAGCAGTCCACAAATTACATATGGACTTAAGCATAAAGAGTTTTGAAATTCTCTTTTACTCCCTGCCACCCCAGTATGTACATACACCCGTCAGAGGTATGTACATGAAATGATGTTACTAAAATAACAGTGCTAATGGTTCTTACCATTTGCTGTGTAACCTGGTACATACATAGCACGACTCCCTGGATTAGAGTGGGCTAGGATGGTTATGCTGGGAGAATGATTGGCATGCACTTTCAAGCTATATCTACCATTTACAGCGAAGGAGAAAAAATACCTCGAGTAAATTCCATCATTTTTTATAACATCAGCACCTGTATATATAAAAAAACAATGTCAACATTTGTTATCATAGTAGATTACTAATACTTAAGTCATTAAAATGAGATTTACTCTCCTTATTCTTTCTGTGTAAGATATATTATCATGCTCTTACCTACTTTTTATATTCTCAGGTGATGAAAAACCCAGTGGGTCCATAATTTCTCCCTAAAATTTCTTATCTCAGAAAAATGATTTTCTGAGGGTGAATGAGTTTGTACCATGCTAATAAAACATTTAATAATCACCTTTAACATTCTTGTTCTTATCATTGAAAATAATACCATTTTTTTTCTAGGAATCAAGCACATTCTTAGGGTTGCTTGTAGTCATAGACCCTTTTGAGATATTAATAAAAGCTATTTTGTCTCTAGGAAATAAATATATATGCACATATGCATATTTTCATACAGTCCCAAGGGTTATATGAATGTCTTGAAGTCACTTGATTAAGGACCTTTAATGAATAAAAACTTTGATAGTTTATAAAATAGTGTGACATTACTTAATTTCCTCATTAGAGGGTATTTGGAACTGTTTTTCTAGATTCTAGGAGGCTTGATGACCTGGAGTTTGACAGAATTTTGTTGCGTCCACTGTGCCTTGCTTCAGGGGGCCTTCTGAAAGGTTAGCCAGTGCTGTACTTTCTTCCTCTTGCATTGATCTTCAGAGAGCAGTTCAATTTCAAGCCAACTTCATGACTCAATGGCAGGAAGACTTAGACCCCAGGGCAGCAGAGGGAAGTCCAGCTTAGCCCAAGTACAGATCACAGTCGCTATTCAATTGCAGGTGGCCAATTGGGCGAGCAGCTTGTCCTCTATCCTAGAGGTCAATGCAGTTCTCGTACCACAGACACAGCCCTGCCCACCAGCAGTGTATCATTGCTAAAGTGTCCCCAGAATCTCCCTCTTCCCCACTGCAAAGGTAGGGCTCCTTAACATAAGAAAAGTAGGAGTATATTTAAATCAAATCAGAAGTGCTAAACATTTTATTATCAAGGTAGATTTAGAATTTTTTTTTGTCTGTTGTAAGAAATCAAATGTTGATATTTAGTGGTTGAATGATTAATAAGGTTTGTCTTTGTTGAGAAATTACAAAGGAAAACCTCTCCATATTAAAGTCACCACTGCCACCTCTTTTAATCACTGAGGAAGACAGAAATGGAAAAAGAACCTTGACTTGGGAGACAGAGGAATTGGTTTGAAGGCCTGCATCTGTCACTTAGTAACTATGAGGTTTCATGTCTCTGAGCCTCAGTTTTCTCATCTATAAAATGGAAATAACTTATCTTGCAGAGTTTTTGTGATGATTATTTTAGAATATGCATAAAAAGGTACATTTTTAATTGTAAATCATTTCAGAGGTATACATTTTATTATAGCTCATTTACTGAGCAGTTAAATATTGCTTCCATTATAAAAATAGCATTAAACAACTAAGTACAGGTTATGTTAAGCATTGATTGGAGAGGGAACAATTTACATTTTGATGCCTGAGCAGTATTTTTTATTGTTTCTTTTTTTAGGGTATACATTTAGATATCAAACAAATAAATTAGTTCCAGGGAATAATATAAAAACCTATTGAGCTGTTTCAGACGATTTTCCCTAGGAGAGTAGGATCTGTTCTCCAGGCCAGCCCACAGGCTGGGGCAAGGGAGAAACATTCTGCAAAAGTGCATTTTTGGACCATAAACAAAAAATGAAAGCCATGGATAAGCAATCAGAGCATGAGAAGTTCATTTGGATCCAATCCATCAAGCAAAACAAGAAGACTTCTCTGGTATCCCCCTGAGGTGGACTTGAACCAAAACCCTTTGAATGAACTTTTGTTTTCCTGCACATCATACGTGATTGCCATGGCAAGATACTAATGGGCTGCCAAACATAAGACTCTTGAAAAAAGATTAACTTTGAAAAAAAAGGGCAAAAGAATATAATTTTGTTAGTAGATCAAATACTTCGGGCTGCCAACAGAGGCAGGCCTACTGCCATTCTGAGAGTGTAATTTAGGAAAATAACCAAATAGGAAGATGGAACAACAAAGGAATTTATTTTTAAAAGAGCCCAAATGCTGCTATTTACCTGGCTGGATGCTGTACTGTCTGTTATGTATAATGTATAAAAGGCTCTGAACACTGTATGTGCAGAATGAGAGCTTTTCTATATTCTGATTCCACTAGGCTTGCAGGCTGGGTCTTCTTGGGACCAAATCACACATGTAAAACGCATTGACTGTGCTAGAAATGAGCTGTGCCCTTTCATCAACACAGCCTTTTGGGTCTAGTGTCAACTTATAGGTCACAAGTTCGCTTTCCAGTTTTTTCTTCACAATTGGGTCCAAAGGGAAAAAGTGGGCTTGCTGTCACTGCACCTCGCTTCTGATTTTCATTTGCTATTTTAACAGTCCAATCTGATTACTTCAGTGAATAGTAAAGCTGGTGACTCTTAGAGGAAAATAAGTATGTCATAAGGACATAGAAGCCTGTTCCTGTATGACCTCATCAAGTGGAAGCCAGGACTAAGGTGTCCAGCTTCCCACCCTTTGCTCAAACACAGACACTACAAGGAGCCTCATGAGGACTGTCTTTTTCCATGTCACCCTGTAGCTATTCAGGATATCAGTAATTCTATAAGAATTTTAGAATATTGTAAGATTAAGAAAGATAATTGAACTGAAGGAATCTTACAGATAAGCTTAATATTGATACTACCACATCATATCATAGCAGCTGTTGAGAACATGATAAAATGTCATGACATTCCTTGTTACCTGCTCCATCATCAAGAAGTCTCAGCGTAACAGGATCTCCAGTCTCTGGCTCAACTGTGGCAGTAACAGTGGCATTAAGAATGGGATAAAATCCCTTTCTCACATTGGCATAAATCATCACAGGATGGGGAAAATGGAGGCTGTCTCTTTCCACAAAGGCATCCACAGTAACTGGGGGCACAGCTGAGCTGGAGGCACGAGAGCTCACTGTCACTTTCAGGGCTTGCAGAGAATGATGGGTATTGTTCAGTGTGTAAGTCCAGCGCCCAGCCTGCAAAACAAGTCTTATTATTTTGGAAAGGGTGAAAGAAAATCAACCCTATTTCTAAAGCATACACCTAAGCTTTTGGAGAATTTTGCTCTGGTTTTATTGATGATGCACTTTTTAAAATACTACAAAAAATGTCAGGAAAAGTAGCACTGGCTAAGGGATGAATAAATTCATATTTCCATGGCTTTCATAGCATAAGTCACCTTTATTGCTAGGTAATTCCTTAGGGAATTACACCTTGGATTTATTTGGAGTGAGGGAGGACACATCTTGATCCCCATTTTTAGAAAGTAACAACAGTCTCCAGCTTCAAAGTACTTTACAGATATTAATTTGAGCCCTTTCCCCAAACAGGAGTGTAAGTGTTTTTCATTTTAAAACTGAGAAAATTACATCAAATTAAGTGGACCATTGCAATTTATGTGGACACCGTGGACTAAAAAGGCAACAATATCCTTTTTTAACTCCATTTCCCACAAAACTCCACACTCAGAAATCTCAAGCAACAAAAAACACGTACCCTATTAGGGAGCAAGAATAGGATCTACTATTTTTAATAGGCCAGGATTACACAATATCTAAGTTGAGTAATTTATAGAAATACTACTAAGAATAATTTATAGAAATACTGCTAAACACCACTCTTGCCTGTCTGCCTGGGAAAAACCTACAACAGACAATCTGAAAGAAAAAGACTAAAATAACAATATAGCAGAAATTTGTCCTTTTGATATTGCTTATTCCTGACTTCTGCTGCTGCTACTTCTCAAACCCCCAGAAATAACAAGAGAAATACAACAAAGCAGAAGGAAGAACAGAAAAGCGAGGGGGTGAAGTGTAACTCAGGGTGGAGAGTTAAGATGCACCAGACCCTAGCCATTTCTTCATTGGGATTCAAGAGCTTTACTATTTTTCAGTAAGTCATGATTCTAGCACTATCTGTTCTTTTTATGGAATCATAACATTAGTGACAGATGCATAGCAGGAACCTCCACATCAAAAAGTTCTCTGAGTGTAATAAATGTGTTGATACAGGGCATCTAATCCAGACCAAGAGGTCAGGCAAGGGGAGAAAGAAGTAGGTAAAGTGTCCCTGGCCTTTATGCACAGGTGTGAAAAGAACATGATGAATTTGAAGAAAAGTTTAATAGGAGCAGAGCATCAAAGAAGTTAAGAGAGAGGCTTGGATAGAAGCCAAAATGTAAAGGGCCTGGTATGTAAGAGTTACCACTTGGATTTTATTCTGAAACCACCAAGGAGTTTTTGAACAAGAGACAGGCTGATGTGTGCTTCAGAAAGATCACTTTGACAGAGGTAAAGAATGGACTGGAGGGATGGCAGTTCAGAATCAAGGAGGCTAGTTAAGGGGCCATCAAAAGGGTGGTGGGTGTGGTGGCTCATGCCTGTAATCCTACCACTTTGGGAGGAGGCAGGAGGATCACTTAAGGTCAGGAGTTTGAGACCAACCTGGCCAACATGGTGAAACTGGATCTCTATCAAAAAACACAAAAATGAGCCAGGCATGGTGTCAAGTGCCTGTAGTCCCAGCTACTCGGGAGGCTGACGCAGAAGAATCGCTTGAACCTGGGAGGTGGAGGTTGCAGTGAGCTGAGATCGTGCCACTGCACTCCAGCCTGGGCGAGAGCAAGACTTCATCTCAAAGAAAAAAAAAAAAAAAAAAAAAAAAGGGATGGGGCAGCATGTGAGGAGACTCAGAATTCAGGCAATGCAAGAGTGAATCTGATCAACTTACAACTCTGATTAGAACCATTAACAGTTCCCTTTCACTTTCAGGATTCAAGCCCCTGTTCCCTTTACCGTTGTGCAAAGCCCTTGCTAATACAGCTCCCGTTTATCTGTCTAGCCTCACTACTCCTCTCTCCTTCCTTCGTCTACATCCCTACCTTATGGATTACCCTACTCTATTGACCTACTCTAGTTCTGTGAACAGCCATAGTCTTTTTATCTGAGTCTATGTGCTGTTTCCTCTGCCTAGAATATCATACCCACCTCTGGCCCCATTATTCCTTATGTTTCCATTTTGATGTCTTCACTACCAGGAAGCATTCTTCCTCCCACCTTCTTGTATGTTCTGATAGTACCCCGTTTATACTCTTACAATGGCATTTTATTGTAAAGTACCTAGGACAAGACCCAGCACACCCAGTAGACGCTAAAAATCATATGCATTGCGTGTATTCATATTATAAATTATAAATAAAGGTTTTTTGGTAAGCATTTAGAAAAGTGTGTTTATGGCTGGATGTGGTGGCTCATGCCTGTAATCCCAGCACTTTGGGAGGCTGAGGCAAGTGGATCATCTGAGGTTGGGAGTTCGAGACCAGCCTGACCAACATGAAGAAACCCTGTCTCTACTAAAAAAAATATACAAAATTAGCTGGGCTTGGTGGCGCATGCCTGTAATCCCAGCTGCTAGGGAGGCCAAGGCAGGAGAATCGCTTGAACTTGGGAAGTGGAGGTTGCGGTGAGCCAAGATTACACCATTGCACTCTAGCCTGGGCAACAAGAACTAAACTCTGTCTCAAAAAAAGAAAAGTGGTTTATGTGGATTATGTAAAGAAAGATGTAGACTAGAAAAAAAATAATCGTAATACTAGTAGAAATACTAATTTCCAGTGTTGAAATACATGGTATCTAATATTTAAAATTGGAAATATACCTTAGTTATCCCTCTTAAGCTTTTAATATTCACAAAATGGCCTCATAAGTTTAAAGTAAACTTTTGATATATTAAAACAAGATTTTCTTTACACAATGTATTTAATTGTGATTCAACTGAAAATCACAAACTTGGCTGAAGGTTCTTCTTAGGAAGAAGCTCACAACACCTACCTTAGCTGTTCCTGGAATCCAAAGACTAGCTGTCTGAAAAGTTAGATTGGTGATAAAATTATTTGTGTAGTATTTTCTTCCATCAGGATCAAATAATATAATCTCAGGAGGACCGCTGGTCTGCCACGTAACTAGAAAAACAGTGTCATTGCCCACACTGTTATCCATAGTCACAGTGTTTTTCAATTGATGATGAGGTTTAACATTTTCACCTGTACTTTCAAGCTGTTAAAGAGATGATATATATGAGAGTTTCTGGTGTATGCATAATCGTTCCTTCTTTTTCACTTATAACAAACAACAATGAATTGGTAAAAATAAAAATAATTTAATTCTGACAGGTACTATAGTTATTCATAATTTTTCATGTAAAAATACTTTGCAAAGCAAAATATTGCATGTTATTTAAGTACAGTAGGTATAAAATATTTTGTGGTAGTTAATGCAAGTATCATTTCATTATTCTTTGTTAAGAGATTTTAGATGTCCTCATATTATCTCTCATCCAAACCAACATTGGCCTCAGATCAGCAATTATAATAACAAGCTTTTTAAAATTTTCATTTGTGAATATGCTCAAATTTTATTAATTTATATATAATCTGTCCAGATCCTTTTACACATTTCGATAAGAAATAAAATCTTGGGTTTTGGCACAGTTTTATTACATTAAAAAATTATTTAGGCTAGGCGCAGTGGCTCATGCCTGTAATCCTAGCACCTTGGAAGGCTGAGGTGGGCTGATCACCTGAGGTCAGGAGTTCGAGACCAGTATGGTCAACATGGTGAAACTCCGTCTCTACTAAAAATACAAAAAAATTAGCCAGGCATGGTGGCATGTACCTGTAATCTCAGGTCCTTGGAAGGCCAAGGCAGGGGAATTGCTTGAACCAGGGAGGTGAAGGTTGCAGTGAGCCAAGATAGTACCACTGCATGCTAGCCTGGGTGACAGAGTAAGAGTCCGTCTCAAAAAAAAAAATTATTTAGTCATTCACAATAAGCCATGTGTGTGCACATGCATGTGTAACATGTACAGAGTGCAAGCATATGCCTGGCACTGTGCTAAAGGCTTCACAATCTTACTCGAGCCTTATGTAACTCCTCTGTGATAAATACTATTGTTATCCACATTTTGCAGATGAGAAGAGTAGTCTTAGAGAAGTAATTTGCCGATGTCACATAGCAAGGAATCAGAACGTGATAAAACCCAGTGGGCCTGACACCAGAGCCCCTGCATTTAATCACTATGTATTTGCAATGGATACAAGTCTGTAAATAACTTTGAAAATTTGCATTTATTAAATAAACACATTAGTAATGCTTCATTAAATTGCTCAAACATGCAAAGCATGTAAAATTATATTGGTGGGTAACAGCAAAGACATTGTGGATTGTTTGTTCAAATCAATTTAATAAATATTTATGGATTGCTGACTGCTGTGCCACATGCTGTGCTGGGCCCTGGGCTGTTGAAGGGGATTTACATATAGTTCCCATCTCTTTACTATAGTCAGTGGGGCTAATGACTCCAACAGCTTCAGGGGAGGGGGACCAGTTTGGGAATGATAATGATAATTTGATCCCATATGAGTAATGTTTTGTTAAATTTGTTTTTTACTTTTTAAACATTTGTATTTATTCCATATTATTGAAGAGGAAGTCATAGGGCATAAAGATTGAGCATTATCAGAAGAGTCAATTGTAGCCTAATCTGTACTAAATGTTGTCATCTGAAATTCACATTTTTACTTTTTATTGTGAAATTGAGGTTATTGCCTTCACTGTGTAAATATAATCATCATGTTAAATATTTCCCAGCAAGAATTGACAGGCTGCATTGGTCACATCAAGCCATTAACTTGGCAGTTACACTTGCCATCTGTCAGGAAACTATAGATGAAATTTTATTCAAAGCATTATTCACTTATGTCCAAATTATCTTTAAAGTACTTAGAAAAAAATGGCCCTTTAAAAATGACTTAATTAGAGGAAGCTTTTATGAGCAAAATTATGTAAGCTGTGGTAGTCAAAGAGATATTTGGATATTTGTGGTAGTTAGAATTTAATGAAATAGTTGATACCTCTTATACAAGGAAGAGCTTAAAAGATGTTGAAGAAGCAAAAATTAGATGAATTCTGAATCCCAGCACTTTGGGAGGCTGAGACGGGTGGATCATGAGGTCAAGAGATCGAGACCATCCTGGTCAACATGGTGAAACTCTGTCTCTACTAAAAATACGAAAATTAGCTGGGCATGGTGGCGCACACCTGTAGTCCCAGCTACTCAGGAGGCTGAGGCAGGAGAATTGCTTGAACCCAGGACACGGAGGTTGCGGTGACCAGAGATCGCGCCATTGCACTCCAGCCTGGGTAACAAAAGTGAAACTCCGTCTCAAAAAAAAAAAAAAAAAAAAGATGAATTCTGATTGATGGAAAGTCACTATGACACTAAAACTAAATTCACAGTTTCTTAGTTTTCTTCTGCACCTTGCCTCCACCACACCCCAACCTGCACTTTGAGCCACAAGGAAGGAGCAAGCTCCACTCACAGACTTTGAAAAGCTGAGGTGGTGATTGTGGAAAATGGCTCCTAGGGCTGAAAGTCTGGCCCTGGTGATGTCAAGCAGCCTTTTAAAAGTCTTCCATACACAGGCCGTTACATATTCAAGTAAGGCTAATGAAGCAGGTAGCACAATTTGTTGATTTCCTTTGTTTCCTTCTCTCTTCCCATTCCCCACCAGGAAATATAACATGGAGAAAATTCTGACCTGAATACGTTGCTGGAAAATGTCTCCAGTTCCAGAGGAAATTCTACTAAAAGCGTCGGTCATGCTATTGGAGTTTGATGTATCTGGAACGAAGAACTTTAAACCTCCTGAAATACATGGTAGGGATGTTAACTATTAAAATGGGTAAAATAAAACAAAAATAAAATGTTAGGCCTTTTCCAACAAACTTTCTTTACATTACAGTGTTTTGGGGAAATGGGAGCTGTGCTTGACTTGCTTTGCCTAACATTCTGTACAACCACATGGTAAGTGGCCCTAGGTGAGTGGTTTCAGCTCTTCTATTCATGGCTGTATTGCCAGGCCATAGAACTTATGCACAGTACATAAGAACTCAATAAACATTTATTAAATAGTCTTAAGATTAAGGTAATTTTTTAGATAATTTGGTTAATTACTATTTACATTTCTATATGTTTACATTTATATTGTGAAAACATTGCTTTTAAAGATAATTCAGTAAAAGCTTTCAGTTGTCAAATCAGCATGCCCATTTTTTATTGAATAAGGAATATAAGATAAAATTATTCTGTGCCTCATTTAGTATAAAAAGACATGTATCTTAAAACACTGTGTGTGTTCCCATTTTAGAAGTTAGTGCATTTAATCTTTTTTCTTTTTAGAGATGGAGTCTCACTCTGTCTCCCAGGCTGTAGTGTAGTAGTGCAATCTCAGCTCACTGCAACCTCTGCCTCCTGGGATCTAGTGATTCTCCTGACTCAGCCTCCCTAGTAGCTGGGATTATAGGAGCCTGCCACCATCCTCAGCAAATTTTTGTATTTTCAGTAGAAGCGGGGTTTCACCATTTTGGTCAGGCTGGTCTCAAACTCGTGACTTCAAGTGATCTGCCCACCTCAACCTTCCAAAGTGCTGGAATTACAGGTGTGAGACACCACACCCAGCCACAGAGCATTTACTCTTAAACATTCATTTTAGCTGCATGATTATGCATGTTCAGACTGGCTTAACACAGAATTATATAATATTATTTTTTGGATGTATATAATTAGGACCTTTAGGGAAAATGTAAAAAAGAAAATCAGCAAAATTTTGACAGATTTTAGCAATATGTGTGTATGTGTGTTTAAAAAGCAAAATGTGTGTGTGTGCAAAAAACTGAATATCCAAGACACAACCGTGAAACTTACAATGAGTTTCATGGTTGTGTCTTGGATATTCAAGTTAAAAGGAAATTCTCTAAAAGATACGTTTATAGAAGTTTATTACCTGTAAGATGTGATAATTCCTCCAGATTTGGGACTGCAGATGAACCCAGGGCAATGGAGTGAATTGTTGAACCACTGCTGAGCACAGTGGGTATGCAATTGCCAATAAGCTTATCATCTCCACTGGTCACTAATATCATCACAGAGCCATAAGTTTTTCCATTCAGCTTTTCAACCACCTAAACATAGAGAATTAGTCATTTGGAAGGAAATGTAGTTCAAATTGTTTTACTGAGCAGAAGAATTCGCTCTAATGCAAATTCCTGTCGTAGCTCCCTACGCTATATGCCCATTCCCACTCAGGCTTTACCTCACCCTATCACAGCACTTGTCACCCTACATTCTACTGCCAGTTTGCTTGTGAGCAGGGAATTTTCCTACTTGAATCATCAAGATGTCCCCATAGTTTAGAGTTGTATCCATCATAGAGGCTATGGTATACACTATTGTTTGACCAATAAGAGGGCCTAGGGCAGTGGTTCTCAGTCTTGGCTACACGTTAGAATTGGATGGGGAGACTTAAAAAATTTTAACAGTCAGGTCACATCCCAGATCAATTAAATCAGAATCTCTTGGGGTGAGACTCACGCATTAGTATATTTTTAAATTCCCAGGTGATTTCAATAGATAGCCAACGTTTAGACGACAGGCAGCAACAACCATAGCTGATGTGTCTTGTTTGCTATCAGATAAGCATCCCAGATACTGAATTCAAACTTGTGTTGGTTTAGATAAACTCTGTCATTCCTGAAACATACCTCTGGCCTTAATTTGTTCTGATATTCTTAAAGTCTAGAATGACTATCGACAGAAGCCAGACATGCCGATTTCCACAAGAAAATCTAGGGGTAAACATGGCCACAGCTGAGACAGTCCCAGAATGGCTAGAACAGTTTAGAAAATGCCCAGATGTTGTTTAGGTCCCCTAGTCTTGGCCACTGTATTCACTGATTTGCTCATTCTGTCAACAAGCATTTATTAAGCAACTAATGTATGCTAGGTACTTTGCTAGGCACAAGGAGTACAATGGTGAATAAGGAATGGTTCCTGACTTGAAAGATAATCCAGCACTACTTTCATAGTTGAGGCTATTATGACCATGCTATAACAGACTGCCCCTCATCAGAGGAAACCTTATATTACCAAATAAGGGAAAGGAAAATGATGGTGATCCAAGGCTTAAGATGCTCTACTGTACCTCAAATCCTTTCTTAAGTCCTGAACAGATGCTGACTTCTGCTTTAGCTGTTACAGTGGTAGGCAGATAGGACACCAGCAACTTCCGATCATCATCACTGTTAATTTGGTGTAGCTGGGCTCTGATCTCTCCCTTGCTATGGAAACTGGCAATGCCCACGAAGGTATGAATTTCAACAATCTGCATCAAATAAAATTCTGCAGCTTGTTGTAGTTGAAGGAGTCTGTCAGCCTGTGTCCCAAAAAGGAAAAAAGAAAATGAGAACATTTGGTGGGTAGACAAAAGTATAACTAAGTAACTCAATTAGCAAACATCTCTGCTAATTCTTTAGAGATGTTGTCATAATTTTTTAAGCTTCAAAAAATAACATAATATTAGAATATTGTTTGATTAATGACAGGCTCAAAAAATGCCTGCTTTCAGGGAAGAGAGAGTGACTTGGAGCTTTGCCCTCAACAAGCTTTTCATAATTTACTGCTCTGCATTTCTCATCAGTCCGACTATTTCTCTCCAACCCAGAATTTAAAGATCCATGGACCCAGCTGAGACGAGGTTCGTAACTGCTTTTTAAAAAATGCAAGTCCTGGTAAAAGTAAACATTGCAAAGAGACCTTTGCTAGAGAGGAGTAGCAGTCAGAGGACCCATGATCTGCCCTGGCACTACCCACTGCTATTGTGGTCACCTTATGTTGGGTACTTCATCCATAGAGTGAGGATGATAGCTTTCTTGTTTATTAAATTAGAATTGCTGTGAGGATCAAGTGAGATACATATATGGCAGTACAGTTATACCATGACGGGCTAACCAGGTATAAAGTAATATTAGTGACCAGTTTTGGGCAGGTGATACTACTAATTAGTTCACTAGGGTCACTTGTTTTGAAGGCTCTGGGAAAAGAGAGGAGCAGCAAGTTGAGCTTCAATGACCACCCTCTCCGGGTTGACCCTGATCTCCATCTCTAACTCGGGCATCCTCCTGGGTGGATCTGGACCTACATTTCACACTTCTTAGGACACGGGTTTCTGGTTTAACTAGTTGGGAATGATGACTTGATACCATGAAGATGGCAACTCTACACTTTAAATTCAAATATTGTTTCTCTTAAATATTGGGAAGTTGTAAAAGGGGTAAAACAAGGACTTTGAACTCTGCCTTCAACTTTTGCTAATTATGTGATTGTAGTAAAATTATTTCGTTTTTTTAGCTTCAGTTTTCTCATCTGAAAATGGATACTGAGTAAGCACTCAGAATAGAGTAGCTATTGCTGCCTTCACGGTCATCAGGTTATCATTCCCAGTCTTGATCTCTACTCCCACGTAGCTAAGCCAGCAACCCCAATCTCTCTCTTACCATTCCTATGTTACCAGTCTCCATATTCTTAAACAGGTCCCAAAATATCAGTGTCTTAAATTTCTCTATCCCGTTCACCACCTCTCAGATTCACCCAGTATTAGTTATAGTCATAGTCATACCAATGAATGCCTTTCCCTTGACCAAGTCCCTCTTATTTTGCCTCTTGGCCACTGCACACACTTTTGCCTTCCCACAAATGTCCTCCTTTCTTCTCTTTCCTTACATCACCTAATCTAGCAAGCACCTAGTTGAGTCCTAGAAGATTCAACTCTAAGTTGATTCTCTCAGTGAAATCTTCCTTGACCACTTTCTTCTGTAGCACCAGGTGCTGCCTCCTCAGTGCTCCCATAGTAACTCACACCTCTGTGGAGCTTGGTCACCTTGTGTTGTATCCAGTCACACATGTGTGTCATGTGGCCCTCATTAGCTGTAAGCATTTCAAAGCAGATACCCTGTTCTTGTCATCTCCGTATCCCTTAGGCCAGTGAAGTGTGGGCACCTGATGAATCAATGGCCATAATGGTTCAATGACTGTTTTTGGCAGGAAAATGGAGGAAAGTTTGGTTTGCCGTGAGTTCATTCCTTTAGGCCTGCTTCTCTTCTACGTACTTCAGGTCTACTTTCAAGTACAATCGTTGTTCCTTTTCACTTCATCCATTCTGCTCAATCTGAGACCATATTTGAGAAAAGCATGCCCTAGTCAACTGCAAGTAGGCAACATGTCAAAACTATTCAAATTCTGGCTATATTTGTGGAGTTTTTAGTGTTTCCGATATAAGCCAGAAAAGGCAAGTATTTCAAGACTATTGATCCAGAGAGCACAAGGGGATAAATTCTCTCCTTGGATAAGTACCATTAAAATAAACAGCTACCTCTTATTATTTATTATGAACTAAAAATTTCATATTATCTCATTTACTCCCCCCCAATAACCCTATGAAGTAGGCAGTGGTATGCTGGTAAATGTTTACTAACTGTTTTCTGATGAAGAATGAAAGGAAGGAAGGGAAAAAGGGAAGAAGGGAGGCAGGCAGGCAGGCAGGCAGGCAGGCAGGCATAATTCACAGCAACTGCCAGCTTCTGTGGGGTAAATATTCTCCCATGTGTGAAACCATGGTTGATTTCGAGCTGTCAATGTGATGTCAGTGAGTGCACAGTTGGGATGAAACTGTAGTAGCACACCATGCGTATGCAGTAGACCAGAAATAACCTCAAGAATTTAGCTCAGGGGTCAGCAGAAGTTTTCTGTGAAGGGCCAACTAGTAAATATTTTAGGCTTTTCTGGCCATAAGTTCTTTGTTGCAACTCCCCAACTCTGTTATTGAAAAAATAAAGTATCCATAGACAATATGTTGACAAATGAGCATTGCTATATTCCAATAAAATTTTTATTTATGGGCAGCGAAATCTGAATTTCATATAATTTTCCCATGTCATGAAAAATCCTCTTGATTTTTTTTAACCATTTAA